CACTCTATTCCACTTTGGTAGCCGCCTCGAGCCGCTCTGGTATTTAATCATTGGCTCCTGATCCAAAGTGGCTGTAATATCTCCACTTAGAGTTCACTCTGAGATCAGTTATTGGCTTTTGATACTTAGACTTGCCACTGAGCTGCCGCCAACGGCTCTCTGGTTGGGTGGCCTCCTGCCCTAAAACTGGTGCGTGACCTTGCCAGTAGCGCAGGAGGGTCGGAACGGGTTTGTTACGATACTTACCACAACGCAGATGTGCCGGAAAAGGGGAACTCTTGTTGATCGCCGGGGGTACTAGTACGGTACGTTACAAATGATTCCCTTGCAATGCTCCACTCACTCAGCCCCAGCCGAATAACACTTGCAGCCCCTCTTGCTTTCGCCTCCGTCCACTCCGGGCTCTTTTTCTTCGCTCCCGGTCTTCTTTTCAACTTCTTGTCCCGCCATCGATCAGTGATTCCCCATCCCACACAACCACTAAACGCATTTTCGTCTCCGACCCTTCGCTTCAATTTTCTTCTCGTCTCCTTCAGTAATATTTCTCTTTCCTCTCGTGATCTCTTCTACCGTATCTTCAATTACATTCCAACCGACCCTTTGTCATTCTCCCTACTATTTCCTTTTTAAAAGTCTGTTTATCCTCAGGATTCCAGCGTGCTGGTCCCTTGTTTGTATCCACCTTCAAGACTCAACGATATAACGGCACTGTTTCTTCCGTTTTATTTACCACGACTACACCAATATGTCCGCCGCATATTTCTACCAGCAACAGCCGCATGCTCACCACGGTGCCGCTGCGCACATGCAGCCTTCGAATAACCACCATGGCGGACGCTCTCGGCGAGGACCTAAGATGGCCGCTCAAAACGCCCAGCGCCAGTTCCGGGGTGTAAAAAGTATGAGGGAGCTCGCTGAGGCTCCTGCGGTGACTGCCTTCCGCGCGAGGTTCGAGGCTGGACGGTCTTTCGACTTGGACGACGACTTGGAGTTCTGCCCCAGTCTCCTGACCGAGGACGATGTATGTTCTTCCACAGCCTGAGCATCGGCTCCCTTGACCCTTCCAGACTGGAAATCGTCTTCCTCGTATATAGTACAGGACCATCTTCTAACATACATCCGAACCTCTACAGCTTCACTCAATCCATTCCGCTGGTTCAGATCGGTCGTCTCTTTCCAGTGGCTCTCCCGATTCGTCCCCTCTCCAGCATCAAATTCAGCCTGTTCAGCAGGTGACACCGTCCATCTCTTTATCTCCTGCATCTACCAACTCATACGTCCATTCCGGCGTTACCGGTAATCTTAATCACGTGAACTACCAGCAACCATCTGCGGTCCGCACCCGCAAGGTCATCCCTATCGTCAACCCCCATACTGGCATGACCCTGACCAGCCCGCCCACGTCCATCTCCCCGGCCTCGATGCAGAATGCTCAGCGTCGCTGGTGAGGACCGCTATCTTACCAGTCGCCATGTCACTAGCCAAGGGCCTGCGCCCATGACATGTCTTCCACTTCGTCCGGCTTCTGCATCATTGGGGTTCCCTAACCGCGGGTCTTAATTTTCGTTGCTTTGTTTACTATTTGACATGGCCATCGCATCTCTTACGACTAAACCGATATTACCTTTTTCCGCGATAAAAGGCTAAATCATTGTTTCCTCTTTGTATATACACCCTCCTCCGATGACGATCTTGAGCACTTTTATCTAGAGTGATGCTTTCGACTTTCTGCGAGCGACGGCGCCTGCGATTCGATTTTTGCATTTTCACATTTCAGACGATACCTTGTTTTTATTCTTCGGTTAGGGAAAATACGTCCTTTTGACCTCGTGTCGTTTTGGCCGCGATGATGTATAGAAAGTGCGGCGATTTGCCATATTGGCGCGCATTTCTTTTTGGTCCGGAGTTTTTTCTTGGTGTCCTTTGGCGACTCTGCAAGATACTCAGCGGTTTGCCATCTATTTCTGATATCCTTGGTTGGTTTTGGGTGGGTCGGATTTTTTCATGCTTTTAGGGATCTAGAAAGGTGGAAACGATATACGTCTGCATTGATTGGGCCTGTGAATTGTTCGGGATGTCTCTTGTGTTTATTTGATCTTATCTTTCGCATTTGTGCCTTTACCAGATCTCTTTTCCTTTATTTCTTTCATGTATATGGGTTGGTGATGGGTGACATTTCTATGTTGTTACTTCTGGCTAACGGCTGTGAAAATCCATGGACTGGATGTGGAGTTTGTCTCGGGGTCTGTCTGGGAGACATAGACCGGTTTTTACTTGAAAACTATGTTCTTTGGTGTCGTGAATCGACCGTCAATTTTGCTTCATTTGCTTCCACGTTGACTCGTTTGGATTTTTTCGATATATCTGGGAACTCCCGGAGAGTGATGCAGTGTATGATCTTGTGTTTCCGTTCGCTTTTGGGCATTCCGTCATTCCATCCCATTTCCTTTGTCTATATGCCTTTTTCTATGCTGTGCCGGTAATGCCTAAACATAGTTGTGAGAATAGCTTTGGACACAGTCCTATTTTGTCAGAACTTCCACTTCGGTAGTCATGATTTACGTGTATGTTTAGTATGCAAGCTTTGTATCTGGGAGGAGTGTAATGTAGGAGTGCTGGGCGCTGTAGGGCTAATCTTACGGCTCGGATGTGGCTTGGAGAAACTCTCATAGTAATACATGGATGTTATGTGCTAGCCTTGTTAACAGGGCTATGTAATTAGCAGGAGAAGCTGTTGCTAAGAGAGTAGAAAGAACCGGAACTTTCAAGTGCCCCATCTGCTTCCTAGGCCAAGTAGTACAAAGAACCATCTTGGCATATTTAACATATTTTAATGTCGCGCAACAACACCAACACTCCTCGCCTGGATAGTCATAAAGAACTTGAACGAGAAGGACAAGGAGGAGCCAGAGAAGACAATGGAACTCTAGAGTGCCCGACACTATATCTCGATTATTAAAAGGGGGTTCTTATCTCGATATTCCAGCAATATATTCCGTACATAATGGAATATATAAAGGCCTCTTCAGAAAGAGTTACTCCTATAACAAAAACTTGACTTTATATTCACATTTGTTCTGTGCACGATTTCCAATCTAGATGTTTCGGAATGAAGACGACCACGATTCTATCTGGATTGGTCCTCGCCTTCCTCTCTGCCAAACAAGCACAGGCAGCACCCCCCGGAGGCCAGATAAATCAATCCCCCCAACAATTACCTTCAATAGAGCAGCAATTCCCCAATCTGCCCAGACCCTTCCTCCAGACAACCTTGTACCACCATCAACGGGTAGTAACCAGGCCCAAACGGTCCAGCCCGGACAACGGATTCCCTCGAAGCCATACCGCCCCGCCCCCCCAACCTCAGTATACGTCCCCGCAAAGTATCAACAGCCCGGATACTGGGGAGAACTGAGAGATCTAAATCGTAAGGGAAACGAACAGATGCCAGCAGCGGGGCAGGCCCCTCTTTGGATTAACGGTGTTCAGGCCATGAATGAACAATTGGGTTACTTGGCTAACTATGCCTTCTGTACAGCAATGTGACATGGTAGCAGGGTCAGCGGGCATGTGCAAAGTTATATATAGGACGGGGGCACGGGATAACATTTGGGAATCGCGATGTAGACGCGAATCTCCGGTAAGTAGAACATCTCCCTGCCAGGGTTAATATTGCTTTGTACTCGGTGCTGATCCTTTGGTAGTGTGCGAGACATGGGAACCCGTGTACTGTTAAGACGATTAAGAATAGTCAAGGGGGGTATGAAATTACCGTGACGCTTTCGTTTTGTGCTGCGAATCAACAGACGTTTCCGGTTAATGTTTGATTGGGGAGTGGGGATATACTTCCATCTGAAGAGTATCTTCACCCGTCAAACTACCGGGTGGCTTGACTCTGTTGTGTGGGGGCTCAGGAGCATATACTTGTATGATTATTTAGACATGTGTTGATAGAGCTACTAGTTCCAGTGCTGAATGTGGGATATTATCGGAGAAGAGTATTTTGGATAAGTGGTAAATTAAACCGATGTGAGTTCATTGGTTTATCTGTAGTGACAGTTGGTGCAATGATGCCCATTCAGTCTTTTATTTTTTTTGTTGTCCAGACACTCTCTAGGCCTAGATTATAGTCTGTGTTACCATCGATACTCTGACTGTTCTTGGAGTTCTCAATATTCCTCGAGGTAGCAGAATACATAACTATACCATGGAGGCGATCTGTATGTGGTCATCTAGGAGAAACGCGACTAAATGAAATGGCAAGCAAACAACTGTACTCACCAAATTCTTATCCATTGCATCCCTTTCAGCTACCATCGTGTCTTTTAATGTGTGCAAGCTCATAAGAACACAGCCAAGTATGCCCATACTGCAGAGTATATACAAGCTGCCAAGGCTTGATATGGGTGCAACCCCTGCTCGTGATGTCATCCCCATGATGATCAACAAAGTCCAAAACAGCCTCGACAATTCACATTCACGACAACACCTTAGACGACAAATAGAATAGATAGAACTAGGCTACACTGTTTCCCCAAAAGTGCATAGCTTCCAATTACCAGGTTAATGAGAACCCACGAAAAAGGTACGGAGAATGGATTGAATGTCCTCGCTGCCAAGAACGACCAGGATTGTGTATGAGTGACGTCACTGGTGACATTCTGGACTTTCTGTCGACAGCAAACCCACTCGCTCACATGGAATTACGAAGGCAATGAGAGAATCAATTCGTCTGGTCTTCGGCTGCTCTTCTGCCTCTCTTCCTTTCCTGCGAACCATTATAAATACAACAAGTTGTACCGCATCGACAGCGTGCAAGACAACATACTTCTACTTTCCACAATAGATCAGACTACCTTTCTTGATTTGGTAAGGCTCCTCCCTTATTTCATGCAATGGCTTGTATCTGCAGTGATGAGAGTTGCTGCTAACAGCTCTAGTCATACAAAAACCTACCATCCTTCGAATTTCAACAACTAATTGACCAACTGACCGACACCATGTCCTTCCTCACTTCCACCATCCGTTCAACAATCGCCCCCCGTGTGGCCCTTCGACCATCTTATACCGTCACCTCCGCCTTCCATACCTCTCCTCTTCGTTCGGGTCTCAAAGAATCTGATCACAGTTCGTCACTCCCCTTATTGCCCCGGTTTGAAAGCACACTAGTCTAACCCTTCTACCCCCAGACCGAGAGGACCTACATATCACCTACGAAGAGCACAAACAGGAGCAATTGAGAAGCACCAAGGAAGGAAAGGGGAAGTGGAAGCAGGAACTTGCTAGTAACAGTGAAGCTTCGGTAAGTTTTCCCTCCTTGCCCCTTTTCTCATTGTAGGTAGAGGGGGAGAAATAAGGACGATCATAATGTTGATGTCATATATAGGTCAAAGCGGATCGGGGTGAGCTCGATAGTGACGGACACGATCTGAAAGATCTACAAGAGAAGACAAAGCATCTACCCAACCAGGAGGGGCCAGGGAGTAAGACTCAATAAAGGGATTGATCTTAGCTTCCTTTTTTCTTTCTTTTGTACTATTGTCTTTTCTTAATCGGTGTTCTGGGTATAAATTGAGCTTTAAGAAGAGGTGCCTGCTTTGATAAACTTAACCTAGTCCTTCATGGTGTCATGTATAACTACCCCTGAGGAATAAGATCGGGTGTATGATATTGACATGGGATATAAGATGTAGATTATGTAGGGCCCCGAGTCCCTGTTGGGAGCTGCATGAAACCAGTGTAATGAAATAATTGCTGCCATATAACGAACAAATCCGTAATTTATCACTCCAGACACCATATAAGTTCAAACATCAATATAAGGCAAACCGACGATCCATTCATAGGGAATCCCGCCCCCCGGCCCAAAAAAGAAACGCCCTGCGCCTTCCAGAGAAACACGCCCTTGACCAAAACTCACAAGAATGTGAAGTTTACCAGAGGTTCTATACGCTCTAGGCTTTATTTCAAAATGACAATGAGAATGACCAGGATAATGATCAAACCGACGATCGTCATCAAGCTCCAATTGTCGCCCGCGCTTCTCCGGATCTTGTCCAGTCGTTTTCTAGCCCCATCTAGCCGATGTTGATGTCGGTCAACATCACCGTCCATACCGTCTAAGAGCGCGACGTGGCCTTCTAATTCATCCCCAATCTGGATACTGAGTTGGTGTTGTCGCCCGATGGATTCGCCTAGACGATCTAACTGTTCGTCCTGGTCGCGCATGATCTCATTGTGTCGATCATATATTTGTTCATTCGACATGTCAGATTGATCTACACCGGGAGGGGAAGGCGAGTCGCGGTAAGGGTGGAAGAGGTTTTGTCGCTCGAGGTCGGCTTCTTCTGTAGCCGAGTTCATGAACCGCACTGACTTTGAAGGAGGGTGCTGCGGAACCGGCTGTTTGAGATCAGGAGATGACTTGACATTGGCGAATTCAGGCGATGGGGATGAGCCGCTGGCGCCGGCTGAGGTGCTGTGTCCGCTGAACTGAGATGACAAATCTTGATACTGCGATTTCAAATGGAATAGCTGGTCTTTCAACTCGGCGGCGCCATCATCGTGGGCCTGTTCCAGCTGGGAGAGGTCCCTTTCGACATCCTCGATGCCGTCATGCAACGATTCCAAAGAGCGAGAGATCTCTCCGTCTTGGCTGTTGGGTTCCAAATCCAATGAGATCGCTCGCTGTCGTTCTAGGAGGGAGAGTTTGATATGGTCTGCAAGAAGAAAGAGCTGCGATGGGTTTGGCATGTTGTGGTGAGACGGTGGGCCCGGAATGAGAGGGTGATATGTCGCGAATTGGCGGGTGAAGTGTCGCAATCCGTCTCAGCCTGGCTGATGAGGCAATGCGGAGAAGACAAAGACTCGGGTAGATCCTGGGAGTCTGACAAATTCGGGGTCGGTTTACCAGGAAAGGATAGAAGTATGACTCGCTCGCTCTGATCGACACAGCGAATAACTCCAGAATAATGGTTAAAACGATGGCAGTAATGGTGGAATGAAGATGGAGGAGGTGTGACCGAGGGGGTGAGACGAAAGACTGTTCTCGGCCGGGCGCGGGAATGATCTGCCGCTGCCGCCGCCCAGTGGAATTACTATCAATTATCGTCCGCTCAACTCGTCCCCCGCAATACTTCCGATTTCCTTTCCTTGTCTCCGGTTCTCCGAGTTCTAACTCTACCTCTACCTATTTCCAACTCTTTCCTTTGTGATACTTCGTCGAAATTTGTCGCTATCGTCCGCCAAGTCAACACATTCCTAGCGGGCTTCAGCCACCGTGTAACCCCTCATGCGTGCCTCTCGGCGCTATTGTTTCATCCTGGTATCCCTTCGGCAACTCGAAAGACGATCCGTTCTCGATCGCCCCCTACATTGATTGTTACTTGTACGACAAGGCTGAGGGCCTTTGAAAAATATAAATCTGGCGCACTGCGAACCGAGCGCACTTGGGCAAGATGAATATCGACGAGTTTCTTGCGATGGAGCCGAGCAGCGACCTTGATGAGATTGTCGACCTCCGCTCTTTGGACTATGTTTCCCAGTATGACGATCATCTCATGTGTGCAATATGCCACTGTCCATACATACGCCCAGTGAGATTGCAATGCGATCATGTGTTCTGCCAGAAATGTTTGAACACTGCTATCACCACGTTTGCGACCGGTCGAGACGAGTTCAAATGCCCTACCTGTCGAGCGCCAGCAAGAGGGGTCTACCTTAACGTCCCTCGATTCTTGGTCAATATGTGCGACGATATACGGGTAAAGTGCCCTTTTGAGGCTGAAGGCTGCGAGGAAGTCGTTCCAAGAGGCCATATTCAGTCCCATGTGGACAAATATTGCGGCTACAGACTTCTGGATTGTCCCGATGTCTTCTGTACGAAGAAGACTCGAAAGAAGGACCTGAGCGCAGAAAACAAATGCATGCATGAGCTTCATAAATGCTCACGCTGTGATGAGGAGATCATGGAACAAGATTATCAGGTGCGTCTGATATACCGTTGCCAACCAGGCCGTGACTAACGAAGGCTTTCAACTGCAGGAGCATGTTCAGGAACTATGCCCGAGCTTGAAAACTACATGTCCTGACTGTGAGACTACGGTATTCCGCAAGGCTTTGAGGGAACACATAGATGCATGTCCAGAGGCGATCCATAGCTGCGCAGCATCCAAGTACGGGTGTCCCGTCAAAGTTAAACGAGCGGAGCTAGTAGTGCATGAGCAGAATTGCCCGTTGATAACCATGGGCCCTTACTTTGAAGCTCAGAATGCTCGACTTGATTCTATGGAGTTGACCATCCGTCATCTCCAACAGCGCAATGAGATCTTCGAGGATGGACTTGCGAGCATTCGGTCTACTCTTGTCGAATCGTCTCGCGTCATGTCTGCACGGAATGCAGACATACCGGCTGAGGCTACTAGTCAGACAAGACCGTCGAACCCATCTGACACGGCAAATGAACAATATGACAATTCTAACGCCTCATCTAATGCGACTACCTACCTTCTCGCTCTCCATGAGTCTCTTCGAGAAGAAGTTGGACAGTTATCACATGCAATCACGGATCTAGATGCTCGCGCTAGCATGGCGATCATGAACGAGTGCCTTCGATTAAAAGAGGATATGGCCCATACGAACGCTGCTGTGAGCAGCATTCGAATGCAGGTGCAATGGCTCATGAACCCTCGCATCCACCAGGGCCAGGGCCAACGGACAGGGGTTCGTACCAGCAGCAATAACGGCAATGAAACACGAGCCGGGCAGCTAGGCTCCTCGGCGTCAGGACCAAGCAATGCTGCTGCACCATCTCCGGGCTTTCTTCGGCCCCGAAGACTCAGCGACAGCGGACGCGAAGGGACCAAACTTTGATAGAGTGCGTGTGCGCACTATACATCGACTCAACGAATAATGATATCTGCTTTGCTCCTTTCCAGAATAGGTCTGAAGGGATGGCGCTGTATGTTTTTCTCGACTGACTTTCTGATACCCAGCGTCCACATTCGAGTGTACTGTAGCCTATAGATAGCCTTGTGATATTCCGGTGATAGTTGTTGGTACTGGTCTGTACTAACCCCGCTGTGCTGCCAGGCCTACTGTTTCATCTTCTTAATATAGAATACTTAACAGACTTTGTGCTATCTCATGTATATCTAATATTTTTGTGCAACCATCATTTAAGAAAGGTCAACTTCTTAGTTCAACTGATGACAAGGACAAACAGTGTATAAATTCTATACTGTAATAAGGAGGGTATATAGTCAAGATTCGTACAGGGGCATATAAATGTAGGACAGCAGTTCACCCGTCCATGGGCAACGCCGCGCTTTATCTTTCTTTTTTTTTCTTTCTTTTCTTCCCTTCTCCACATTTCCTTCCAACTCCGCTTCGACCTTCCAAATGAACCGTAAGAGACTCCGATCATCCTTGTTTCAGCGTCTCCGAAACACGTATCAAGTCTCCCCTGCATAGCTTTCACCCGCATGAAACAAAACACACAAGCATCAAAACAACGGCATATTGACCGAATTCACATAATCAATATTATCCTTCGTGCCCTCGACGCGGTCGTGACAGGTCCCAAAAATGCGGTCCCAGAGTCTTGTCTGCTTCCCGTAGTTATGGCTCTTGCGCCAGCCCTTGCGATGATGGAGGTCATGGTCTTCGATGACGATCTCGGCACCGAAGAACTCGAGTAGCAGGGTCATGGTGGACGCGCCGGTTGAATGCAAGCGCAGGCCGCTGTGGCCCAGCACCTCGGTGAAGGCGATGTACTGGTGGCAGAGCCACCAGTCGTAGAAGCCGAGGGGGAGGCCCATGAGCCTGAGCGTGAAGTAGGTGGCCATGGGGACGCCGACCATGTCGAAGAACTCCTGCTCGTGGTCTGCGTAGGCGGCCAGGAGGGGGTTGGGGTGCTTGGTGAGGTGGTGGGTGCGGTGGAATTTCCACAGGAAGCTGACGTCGTGCATGAGCCGGTGGTACCAGTAGAACCAGAAGTCGAGCACGATGCCGTAGAGCCCGATCTGCAGCGGCAGCATGGCCCAGTTCAGCTGCGAGGGCAGCTGGTTGACGTTGTAGGTGAGGTAGGTGGCCAGGGCGATGCGCGAGCCTGTCGTCTTGTACAGCGACGTGACGACCTTGCCGATGCCCACGTCCGGGACGCCGTCGCGTTCGTGCTTATCGCCGTCCAGGAAGCCGTAGATGTGGCCCAGACGGCGGAGGATGTGCACTTCGAAGATCACGACGGCGTTGAAGGCGAAGAAGTAGAAGTTGAACACGGCTATTGGGCCCAGGTTGTGGCCGGTGAAGGTGGTGTAGACTTGGTGCATGAGGAGGGGCAGCGAGCCGTAGAAGAGGACCCAGAGGTTCAGAGACCATTGCGTGAGGTAGGGGACTTTTTCGTCCTTTTGGTGCACGGGGATTTCCTTGTTGAGCTCGGTTGGGTGCACGTTAAGCAGCTCGATGGCCCAGTGGTTGATGTTCCATTCGTCGCGGCTGGCGGTGCGCCAGGTGGACTTCATTGAGTCCTTGGGGTTGGGCTGGGTAGCCATTTTCGCTGATATTGACCTTAGTCTGTGTCTCTTGGATACGGCCGCCCTCTTCTGGGGAGGGTTGGCGAGGGAGGAGCCATTATTTTATATCGTTGTCGCTAGAGGGGGCCACCGGTAGGGAGTGTGGTTCTACATGTGAAAGTGAAGGAAGAAAAGAGGCTATTTGGCAGTGCAGAATGGAAAATACTGGAGTGTAGATCATCATCTGTAGATCTTTGTTTCCCAACAAAAGAGAGATGTGGCCCCTGAATGGGCCACAGGAGTGAGGGCCCATCAAACTAGAGCCCCAGATGGGTAGTCAACTATGGTTCGCATGTGAAGGAACCCCCAGTTGACATGACTTCCCGCGCAGGCATGCCTCGGGGTCTCGGATATTGAGTCAGTCGGACTACATTTAGGTATTTTTTCTGGTCAGGCAGAGTTATTTTGGGGGCGTAGAAAGCTGGTTGTTGTTGTTCGGCATTGTGTTCTATGGGGATGGGGTTTTGCCGTTGTGCGGGGGATCCTATTCCAACTTGGGAATGGGTTGCGAGAGCTTGCTGATAGGCGACTCCGGGGTGGGTTCCCAGTCCAAGATCTAAGCTACACTTCTGTGGTCATTGGGTCGATACTACTACTCCGGGGTGGTCGAAACAAGACCAAATAAAATGAAATGAGTCTTCGTAGATGGCTCAAAACTTGGGAGCCTAGGCATTTCGGTCCAATATCATCATGCAATCAGTCTCCTCCATGGGCCGGAGAAAAGTGTCCCATTTCGTAATAGAAAAAGTCAAGCGTAGCCCTGAGTAAGCCAATCTCAATTTAATGCCCACCATTTCTTTAAGTTGCTTTGAGTGGTCATTCCTCATTATCTGCAAGGAATTGGCTTGGTGGCTGACAAGATTTATGACCATCACGCTTGTGACGCAAATTGCCAAATGTAGAGAGAGTAGTTTGGTGTTTCATTTACCTACAATATGAGTAATGGTAAAAAGAAAGAGGAGGGAATACTTCCTTTATCAAAAGATCCTACACCTCTCGGCAGTTCTTATAGAAAGTAGTACAAAGAAGAGGTAGACTGCGGTGGCCCCTGGGACACGATTGTCTTACAACTTTGAACAACATCAAAATAGTCTTTCAAGGACCCTTGTAGAGCAAATCTAAGAGTACTCGTTTTCCAGGTATCACTAGAGATGTTGATTCCACCAAGGAGATATGTTGTGCTATTAGCAGAATCACCATACATCTCGCTGGAGGAATGATTTGTGTACTACGCCCTGGCCATATTGCACAGTCAGCGATATGCGTAGACCTGGCATACAAGACGCATTCCATTCCGGCAACTAATACGACCAGTAGCATTACACGTTCACATGTAGTGTACGATCTTGCTTGACGTGTCATAGCCTAATAGGTTAGTACTAGGCACCAGGTTTAGCAATCAAGGGAATAATACATATGGCAATGACTCACTGGGCCTGCGTATCGGGCGAAAAGTACATGGACTTGCAGGTCATTCTCATTCTACTAACTTCCATCTCTAAGATGTACCCCTCATCGTGAGCTGTTCAAGGACTTTGGTCACAAACCAAAGTCTCTCTTTTTTGCACATCGGTCTTCGGAATTGTACAACCACCTTTCTACATTGAAGAAACTGAACATTGATAGAGCTGAACATAATCTATCAGCTGGAGCAGACGTAAGTAATCTGAGAGTTGTATATGACTCTGTAGAAGCTAACTTGTATCATCTGACGTGTACTTGGCTACTCCTCTGCAATGACACCCCAGTCACGTTCAGCATAGGAATGAATCGGCTGGATATACGTCAGCAGTAAAATCCTCAGCATATGACGCAAGATGCGAGAAAATTCTTATTGATCATGATGCTGATCCAGCGGCATGACGCCACCTTAACAAGGAAATACAGTGCCTAGTAGCAGGGATCTAGTCAATCAATATCTGTTGGGACGAAAATCATCCGTTTCATCCTCTTGACCCACAGTAGATGCTCTTCCGGTGCTCGCTCGCGCGAAAGCCCTTGCTTTGGGGAGAAGCAGGTACTGAGCCCCGCGATTCTTATCATCCGAGGTGATGCGGGCATTCCATATGAATAATACCCTGCTTCCGGAGCCTGGGGTCCTCCTTGAGTGACATGGAAAATGTAAACTTCTGGCGCTCATTAAGAGCCTTGAGTAGATGCAGATAGTTTAATAGGTTTATACAGGCCTATGTAAGAAACCATTGAAGTTCTTGTGAACTCTCGTCGTGTAGAAGGCAGATTATCATTGTCTCAGACAAGGTCAACGGTCTACGAAATCTCTAATCAGTAGAGACTTCAGTTAATACGAGGACGTACTTATAGAAACATTAGACACATACGCCTAGTATGCAAAGCGGTATGTATCGGACGCTTCTCAAAAACGACATTGAGGAAGGGAGTTCTTCCAATGGAGATTAGTTCTGCATACTGAATAGGGCTGCATAAGTTTTTGATGGGGTTCATGCCGTCTGCCCGCTTGCAGGATCCGCCCCACACCGACCAGCCAATGAGCGTCTGAACCGAACCCTTGATGTTTCAACACCTTGAGATCAGAATTTGATCCCAGAAAAAAAAGAGTCACAATAACATATGCTGGAGCAAAAAGGAAAGCCGAACGCGGGGGTCGAACCCGCAACCTTGAGATACCGTGACGACTAAGAGTCTCACGCTCTACCGATTGAGCTAGCCCGGCTTCTGTTGAAGGCAGGGAGCCCTAAATTGATATATGAGAAGTGGCTAATAACAAATACCCTGCAGCCCTAATCCACGCACAGGGTATCAGAGGACATGGAAGGCTCAGGTTTGGAGGTGAAGACGATGTTCCTTTTACCGAGCGATATTTCAGCTACACTTTAAATGTCCATTAAAGTAGGGGGTTTGAAGTCAGATATTTCATCTTCTGGGTGTGTTGTAGTGTAAAACAGATATATAAATTCGCACAGTCCCTAGCTATCTTAGCAGTCTAATGTCTACCATGCTACAATTGGCATATAGAATTGTACTAGAACAAGTCAAGCACCGTGAATTAGATTTCTTGGGCTCACTACACACAATACCGAGCAGTCTGCAGAGATCTACAGATGAGATCCCTGTCGGATCACTTCCCGGCATTGAGGTTCGAGTTTAGTCCATCTCGCTGAGAAATCTGACGAAGTAGTGGAAGTCCTTGCGGGATGTGTTTTGAAGGGACTTGCAGAAACGCCATGGAATGAGGATGAAAATTGCGTCTTGAAATCCAACCCAGGCAGTAGTGGTGCTATCCAATGATGTGATCTGTTATACAAAACAGTGATTTGTGCGAGCTACTATGGATCTTATATAAATTGAGAAGATTCCAACTGGCCTTCCATTTAAATTTTGGATCTGTCTCAAGAAAGTTCAGGATGTTAAATATCCCTAGGATCTTCAGATTGTTGGCTAATCAACTACAATCATTCGGATAGACAACACCTATTTACTGGCACTTCAAGACCTCACATCATATTATTTAAGTGAATTGATAGTAATTGACGCCCTCTACGTAATTACGCTTATAACGTTAAATATGATTAATCCCATAATCTCAAGCCCTGTGTTGTCCCCGCTGCTCGCCATACTTTAGCCTATTGAATCACCCACTAAGTACCTAATGCTTAATCAATTTCCCCACACCAAGTTGGAGATACGATACATCCGTACATCCCCTCACCACCAAATCCCACCAAGCCCCTCAAACAAACACCATAGACAAACCCCAACCAACAGGAAGAAACAATGTCAAACACAAAAGCCAACATCCTCCTAATCGGCAGCGGCGGCGTGGGCACCATCGCGGCCCTAAACCTAGAAGCCGGAAACCTCGCCCAAGTAACCGCCGTCCTACGCTCCAACTACCAAGCCGTAGCATCGAATGGCTTCAGCATCACATCCTGCGACCACGGGAACCTAAAAGGATGGAAGCCTACCACCAGTACGTCGTACCCACCAACACAGCCAGCCCAACAACCCAGTGACAATTCCATATATCCCCGCTGACCATATCATCTGAACCCCAGTAACAAACCGCATCCCGGAGAAGACTGCCCCAAAATATGATTACATAGTCTGCACCACGAAAGTAATCGCCGATTGTGCCCCACTCACAGCCGATCTGATCCAGCCGGCCGTAACGCCGGGACACACTGTGATCGTGCTGATCCAAAACGGACTGAATATCGAAAAGCCCTATTTCGCGGCCTTCCCGGAGAACATCGTCCTCTCGGGAATAAGCATGATTGACTCGCATGAGGTTGCGCCGGGGGTGATCGAGCATGGCTCTGCGGATGATTTGGTCATTGGTGCGTTTCGGAATCCGAATTTAGATTGTGCTGTTGAAGTCGCGGCCGCGGAGCGCTTCGTGGGCTTGTATTCGGCGGCTGGGAAGACGAAGTGTATTCTGGGACTCGATGTGGCGTATAGTCGCTGGAGGAAGTTGGTTTTTAATGCGTGCTTGAATTCGATTTGTGCGCTTACGGGTCTGGATACCGGGCGTATTCGCCTTGCGGGGGATGCGGTGGAGATGCTTGTTAGGCCTGCGATGGAGGAGATTCGCGCGGCGGCTGGGTCTGTTGGGGTGGATTTGCCGGCGGAGGTTTGTGAGGAGGTTATTGGGGCTTATCCGGTGACTATGTATTTGCCTCCGAGTATGCTGGAGGATGTTTGGAAGGTTTGTTGATTCTCTTTTTATGGTTGGGGAGTTGGATGTTGACATGGGTTTGTTTTGCTGACGGTTCTGATAGGGGAATCTTATTGAGGTCGAGAGTATCGTTGGAGAACCCCTTCGGGTTGGTCGTGCTAATGGAGTGGCTATGCCTACTCTATCTGTATTGTATAATTTGTTGAAGGGCGTTCAGTGGAAGACGAAGGAGCAGAGGGGGCTGATTGAGATACCAGCTCAGGGTGGGTCTGTAGCAGATTCGTAAAACTAGCAAGATAGGTAAGCTCTATATTGCTTCAAGTATAGACATCAAACTTAGCATTGGCATCAATAATTTCACATAAAATCAATATTTCCAACCGAACTAGAGACACTTTGCTTGAGCTTCTGGATATAGATGACATTCTGATCGAAACTAGGAAAGATAGACCCAACTCTCCAATATCTACTCAACACCACCCGAAATGCTATACATTCTTATGGTGCGTTCTCCAACTCGTCCACAATCCTCTGTGCACGCTCGAGGGTCGCCTGAGCTGTATCAACCTTAAGCTGCAGCGTTCTCGCCATTTCAGGAAACCTCCTTGCCTCAGTAACCTCACCCTCTTCCGCAATGATACTGTGGAGATCATCACATATATTGCCTACCTGCTCACCTACCATGCGCCTCATTTCCTGGCAAATTTCTCTGACACTAGCTCGGAATTGGGCTTCGCTGATATTGGTGAGATTTGGGAAAAGGTTCGAGTTCGTGAGGTGGCTACGCATCAGCATTTTCTTTCGAGAATCAGACCCTGCGCCTATTAAATATTAGCCTGCTTCCGTATATATAACAGATAAAACAAGATTGAATCAACAAGAAAGTCTTCTTACCTGATTCACTGTTGCATTTGTTATATACAGGTCGCATTAAACCTGCAATATAGGAGCTATCGTGGCCATGGAGAGTGTCTGTTTCTACTCGACTGTGCACACTAAGGTTAATTCATGGTGCTTGCATATCCAGCAGGAGAGCGATAGATTTACCTTAGTTCATGACGTAATTGATTTAGAGACTGGCTAATAGCCGCGACCACGCAGTTCTCCCAGTCGTCCATATTCTCGATGAAGTTTTCCAGCGCCAGGGGAGCTAGATGCATTATATCTAGGGTGGGTTAGTGGCACATTCAGCTAGAGGTGGGTTGGTGCCGCATACCCTCTATCTGGGCTTTGTTCTCCTCAAATGTTCTTCTCACAGCCTCTCCTAATGTAGATTTCTGCATATAGACCCACCGTTCTATGGATTCCCAGCGTTCTTCGAGGTCAGTTTGCATGCCTTCCAGCAATTCCTCATTCCAAGAGCGATATTTAACAGCACCGGTAGAATGCGTTCCATACTTTCGACAGAAAGCGGAGTAGGTCATATGATGCCACTGCGATACGTCAGACTCCATTAGTGGTGATGTTAATTGGTAACTCATAGACTGACGCTTTCCCAGGTCCTGCTAGTTTGTAATGCGCTGGATTTCCATACGGGGAAGCGCTCATCTACAGTATGATGTTAGTCAATGTACTGATCGATCTTATGACAGAATACTCACATGTCACGCTGAGAATGTCGTCGTGAAACCGATCTTCAAGTCTTCTTGGAAAGTCTCGAACTTCTGAATTTCGAAGGATAAGCCGCTACTCTATGTCAGCTGGGAGCAGTTTCGCATATGATGCTCATACCTCGCGAAAGACGTTCTCCACATCCCGTAATACTTGCCGAAGTGCAACGGCTCGTTCTACAGTTACATCATCTGAGCCAGCAAGAACCCATTGCCTCACGGATCTCACAACAGCCGGAACGCGATGCTTTATAAACGCAGCCGTAAAACGAAACTGAGCGTCTGCTGGGACCAGTTGACAATAACGACGAAGTTCTGGGATACCGCTGAGCCCGATATAGGTGTCGGCGTGTCTGTTTGCATCCTGGCGGTACTGGGAATACCATTCGTTACTGATGCAAAAGACCCGGACTTCACCGTGGTTTTGATGTAACTGATTTGTGACCCTCAGATTCCGGCCCTCAACCAAGAACCGGTCAAGCCTATAAGAACATTAGTGATGACTTTATCTTTCTCTTTATATCTCTTTTTAAATTTATAACGTACTCAAGCCTTGCGTCTTCCTGATTTTCCCTACATTGACTCACGTCAGTATTGGAGAAACAGTACGCGCACAGGTGCAAGGCAAGACAAGATCTCACATGAGCCGAAGTATCTCACTGTATCTCTGCCTATAACTTCGTTCCCTCGCAAGCCGCCTGTTAATATGCCTAAGCCTGTTCTGTAGCTGCTCGATTTGCGCTGTAAGGTCACGGCAGTCGCGAGCCGTTTCGCTTGCATTTACTTCCTGAGTCAAGTAAGCACTCGATCTCCAGTAACGGCATATCAACATAAGATGGCCATACTTCGCTGCGTGTGCACACTATACGCAATGGTTGTTCTTGGGTGCAGCGTCTCTTTATTTCCTCAATACTCTGGTCGGAAACACACCGGGAAATTGTCGTCACGACGAAAACCTCGTTACAAGAATGTCTGAGGTACTTTTCCGTCGCCCGAACTCTTGCGAAGTTCAGGTCACGGAAGCCTAGTTTTTGGTATTAGTGTATAGGGAATTCGAAGTGTAGGAATCAGGGGACGAACCAGGCAAGTCAGCCAGTACCAGTCCTGTTCTCAAGACAGGTGATCGTAGGTACACCCTACAAATGTTAGCCAAATAAAGTAGAATTACACAAATCATACATACCTGATCAGTTTAATGAAGGGCCAGATGGCAACCTCACTCTCATCGCGTGGATCCATTGTAAGCATATCAAGCTGTGATCTACATTCTTGGACATTACTCGGAATAATGGTGTGCTGAAGCGCTGCACCCCCAGGGCGGCGCGTACATGACTGAGCTGCCCAATCTCCAAGCTGTTCCAATATTCTAGATAATGCATCGTCAGTCTGGTCGGAAAGAAACTCGTGTGTAAGCTCCGGTTGATCTCTAAAAAGTGAGTTCAATGTGCTCCACGCTCTGGTTGACCGGTCACGGATTCTCTCCTGCTCTTCTATACTAGTCACTTCGCGGTAGAGATCGGTGTAGTACATCCTGAAGCTCTGAACGAGCTCCTCTAGCAATTCTTTCACTTCTTCTTCATCCATGTAGTCAATTTCAATGGTGTAACGATCTGGATGGCGCGCATCCATGTGTCGAAACTCAGTAACTACCGAGGTACATGCGGAACCATCACCACTCTATGCATACGGTGTCAGTATATTCTCGATATGAACCATCTCTTTCCAGGAAATGTGGACCTACTGAACGGGCGAGGCCTTCTTGATCTAGGAGCGAGTTTATCAGTCTACTCTTGCCGACTCCGGAGTTGCCGATGAACCCCACCGTGCGCGTCTCGGGACATTCGAGTTCGTTCAACATGCGCACCTTCTCGCGCAGTTGGAAGAGCTCCGAATCACGGTCACGAGACAATGGGAATCGGTCTATATCATTTTGGAGGGCTGACAATTGACTCTTGATGCCTCGGAGGATTTCCTGTAAGTCGGCATTGTATATAGGGGCACGAGGTAAGCGCTCGCGTCGCACATTGTACAAGGAAGAGTTATCACTGTCAGTTGCGTCGTCCTCGTTTTCGATCTCACTCAATTGGTCACTATCATCACTCAGAGGCCCATCATCGTTCAAATGAGAATCCTCTAAATCGCTGGCTAAACCATCAACGGTTGAATCGCAATTCAAGGTAGACTGTACGCGTGATGGCTCTGGCGAGGGCTCCGGCGTAGCATTGAACAAACGCCCGTACGTGGATGTGGATCTGCCTGGGGACAACCCAGCACTTTGTCGCCGACCATCATGCCTCCACGAGGGTGTTCGATGCGATGTAGGAGTTTCTTGGAGATTCAACGTCCGCAAAGGCTCTGTGACACCCAAGCTTAGATTTTCACGGTAACGAGGAGTCGCCGTGCTCTGGCTTGGAGTGTAACCGCGGTGACTGGAGTCTCCAGAGTCAGACGCAGAAGATGTATGTCCATCTTGTACTGATGAAAGAGGGTCTTCGCCTGCTGCAACTTCCACAGAAGGTATAATAGCTCTGGAGTTGGAGTCTAGGGCAGAAAAATTGGAACCTTGGGGTGAAGTCCCCCTGAAAATATAAGACCGTGTCATTAGATCAAAGACAGTTAATTTTGGCTTCTTTGTCGTAACTATCGGTGTGATGTGAGAATTTGCAGAAGATGGGAACAGAATATATGAGACTGTATGGGATCTTAAATAGCCACAAGGCTGCCTTGTCCAGTACCATGGGGATTCCCCGCACCACAAGGTAGACTGCGAAGGGCAACATAGCCTCGTTACCCTTGTCAAGCGCTATTTTAGCATCTATTTTAGCAGAGTTAAAAGCCTCGCCATATTGGGAGTCTTGCACGTGTACAGCAGTTGTAACAGATGACGATTTGAGGATTGGCCATCCTTTCAGAATGTAGATCACAGCCTTGCCTACTGAAACAATTGTGGTTACAGATGATAGGCTATGGCTTGTTAAGAGACCCCAGGCAGTCTAGGACAAATGGTAGATGGTGTCTTTGGAAAATGATGGTCGGGAATGCTGAGGGCGCTAAAAGATACTGGATCTCATGCAAAGTCACTGCGCCGCATTCATTATAGGAAGGAGCTGCTGGCACGGCTGGCCATTATCCTTTTTACGTACATAAATTCACAATGCGATTATGCACTGAATCAAATACAGATTTATGAAGATTCCTGTACTCTTTCTGATTGGAGTGTATTTTTATCACCACAATCGGGTAGGCACTGCTGTGGATGACGTGCATCACGCAAGGGTACTGCCCAAATGAAAATGCAGAAAACCAATGCATCGAAGATAATTGAAACATAGCGCGGTTATTTACTATATTTATAGGAATTTCTACACCGTACCTTTGTCTACCCCAATAGCCTGCGCTGTTCGTAGCGGCCCGGCCCGATGTCAGCCCTGCGAAAGGCATACTCTTGCTGCACATGATATTACATGGATGATCGGTGTAACTAGAGCTATACAGTTTGTAACAATAGACCAAGATGCTGTTTTCACTAGTCTAGCAAAGGGCCCAGGAGAGCGAATGAATGATGGAGCATATTACTGCTATTTCTGTTGGAATGGTAACTGGAAAGCCTTCCCTGGTCAATATGGATTAGGTGTGGACATCTGTGCCTGAATTTTAACCAGATGAGAAAAGAAAATGACGAGAAAATGAAAAAGGAATTATATATCAGCATAATTAGTTTGTCACGATATACTCAGTTAGCCTAGGACACTACAGTCATGTTGGTCTCGGCCTCGGCAACTTTCGCCGACAACTCCGTCGAACGCCATAACGCCATACTATTAGCAAGAAGAGCTAGTATTTACATCGCATGGAAGATGTCTAACCCTCGTCTTTGACCATGTATAGAACCATATCCCAGAGGGCAAGATATAGAAAAAGAAATGGCAAGTATCACCAAACACATAGCAACATCAATCCCACCAAAACCAAGTATACTCTTGATCGGCAAACTCCACCATTGCAAGAGTGAATGGTCCAAACTGCAAATCAAATACAGAACATATGAGTTCACAGGCAACCGCCAGCAATTTTTACAGAACTGTCAATCCGGAACATGGGATGGGGTTGCAGCACTTTACCGAACAAATTCAACACTCGAGACCGGGCCATTCGACAAGGATCTTATTCGCACCCTGCCATCGACATTGAGGTTTATCTGTCTCAATGGTGCAGGATATGATGGGATGGATATAAAAGCTTGTACCGAAAGAGGTATACAGATTTCTAATACTCCAAAGGTCGTTGCGGAAGCCACGGCCGATGTGGCCATGTTCTTGATGTTGGGTGCGTTGCGCCAGGCTATGATACCATTAGTATATATTAGGAAAGGACAATGGAAAGGTGATACGCCTCTAGGCCGTGACCCTGGGGGCAAAGTACTAGGGATTTTGGGGATGGGTGCTATTGGACAGGTGGGTTTATTGACTAGCTACACGTTGTTGCTGCTGGCTTATATGCTTGTAGGCTATTGCGCATCGGGCTCGTGCGTTCGGGTTGAATATTATCTACCATAACCGTTCCAAGCTCCCTAGAGATAAAGAAGGTAGGGGTACATGCCCCTTCTTAATCTTCAGCAGTACATTAGACTGAGTCAGAAACAGGGGACAGCAAATATGTGACGTTTGATGAACTTCTGCGATATTCTGATATCATCAGTCTTAATTTACCAGCTACAGAAAAGACTCGACATATCATCTCGAAAGCCGAGTTCGAGAAGATGAAGGATGACGTGGTCATTATCAATACAGCAAGAGGCTCGTTACTTGATGAAGCAGCCTTGGTAGAGGCCTTGCAAACAGGTAAGATTGCTTCTGCTGGATTGGATGTCTTTGAAAATGAGCCGGTTGTCCACCCGGGCCTGCTCCACGACAACAGAGTTATGATTCTACCTCATATTGGGACGACAACACGTGAAACCAAGTGTGAAATGGAGTTATTGACTCTGCGGAACATAGATAATGCCTTGAATTATGACAAGCTGCTCACACCGATTCCAGAGCAACGGCAAGACTAGTTCTGAGAGAGGACACATTGAAGAGACAGGAACTCTGTGCTACAGTTGGCATTTTATTAAGTTGTCCTGCTATTAGTATCCATGTAGAACTTCTCTCTCAACGATCACCTCGCAGGGATTCCATGCAGTGGAAACTTGACATCCATCCTTTTTATTATTCTGTTGAAATCCTGTACTTACCGTATACATATCACCTTTGGTTAAAGGCCTGTGCTACAAGATCAGCAGATGATTGTGGTAGGGATTTCATTACCTTCGTCGCTCGTCTTCTGCAGGATCGGTTCAACCTCTGGCTAATAATAATTGGATTTTATTGTTCAGCGTGGGATAAGAAAATAGCAAAAAAAAAAAATATGGGCATTCTCATGAACCCACAATCTGGCTCTGTTCATAACCCTGATTCAATCACAAAGCTGACCACTGCATGCTTTTACACATACCCCTGCTCCTACACTCACCAGCCCCAAATTGTACAGGAAAAGCAAGACATAGCATTATTCATGATTCAGATCACCAACGAGAGCCACCTGAGCTATATCCACCGCCATAACCTTGCCCGTGGCTTTGCCTGGAATCTTGCCTGGAACCTCGGTTATATTCAGAGTCATATCCTTGCCCGTAACCTTGTCCGTGGCCTTGCCTAGAATCATGCCTGGAACCTTGGTTATATTCAGAGTCATAGCTTTGTCCGTAACCTTGTCCGTGGCCTTGCCTGGAATCTTGCCTGGAACCTTGGTTATATCCAGAATCGTAACCTTGATCATAGCCATGATTCTGATGACTGCTGTCGTGGCGACGTTGGTTGTGTCCTTGAGATTCGGAGTAATCACCATATCTATGACTGGACGATGATTCGTTGTAGTAGTCCGCACTTTTTCCACCTTCATGACTGTGATGGCGACTCTGGTAGCTGCTGTGATCGCCCCCGGAGTGATGCGACTGGTAGCCTTGGTGGCGAGATTCATAGTCTTGGCGTTGATGAGATAGCTCATGGTAAGACTGATGCTGCTGCTGCTGCTGTTGTTGTTGATGATGATGATGATGCTGAGGCTCAGGTGGGGGTGTAGTCTGCTGCGAAGTCTCGTCACTCCTCGAAGAACCACCTAGCCCAAAGCTAGATAAAGCGCTGCTAAGCTTGGAGATACCTGGGATGGGAAGCTAGAAAGTTCGCCGAGGGGGTTAGCCGAGCTTTGTTGTTGTTGTTGCTGTTGGGGTGGGCGGTACTGTGACTGCCCTGAGTGATTATGTGACTGCTGAGGTGCATGACTGTGACTATGGCCGTGCCCATGGGAGTGGCCGCCCTCTCCTGTTTGATTCTTTCCTGCCTTCACACCCTCGGCACTGAGAACATCGTTAAGCTTGGAGCCGCGATCCGACCTAGACTGCACCCAAGATTCGACTGCTTCGTACATAGTCCGATGTGCTTCATTGCGCATATCCCTCAGAGCGGGGTGATGGAATACTTTGAGGCAATCGTCCGAAACCTGTCGCTCAGAGATGTTGGTGTTCTCCCAAGCGTACAGGACACGAGGCGCGACATATTTAAGAATGGCAGAAGCGACTTGACCAGCTGGCTCATTGAGGATATTGGAGAAGTGATCCTTGGACAGCAAGGAGTGGGTAGGGTCGGTGCAGTGAGGGTCAGTCCACGGTTCATACTGGTGTTCACCAGAAGCATTAATGACACTAGAGGAGCCAGTCTGGAGCTGCTTGGAGGCGGCGTTGATGATGGGACGAACGAAGGGCGCCAAGAGAGACATGACAAAAACGGTCAAGGTTTCAGTGATCGTCTCGACCAGGGTTTCCAGACCAGGGATGTTCTCGATGATGGATGAGAGCTTCCGCACGACATTATCTCTGAATTGCAGAATAGGGTATATTTGATCAATTGTCTTTTTTGCATCAAAATCTGGCAGCCCGGGCAAGCCACCCGAGGAACTCTGATTGGAGTCATCAGCTCTGGCAGCCCTGCTTTGTTCACCTCCAAAGCCTCGGCTGCTGCCTGAGTCGAAGTCGTCAAAGGACCGAGCAGATCCGCGGGTTGAATAGCCTGAACGATGACCGCCACGCTTGTTTAATGATTCTTGCTCGTCTGAGCGACGTCTGAGCTCCTCAGCTTCGTTAACAAGATCCTTCGTGCCAGGAACCTTGCCGAGCAGTGCTGTCAACGCGCCAGCAGAGCCGGAAGATGTATTTGTCTGTGCATCTCCCAGCGCAATATCCATTTCATTAACCTCCGACTGGGTGAAATGATCGGTCGCTTCTCCAAGCATGGAATGGAAGAAATCAACCATACCGAATGTGCCAGTTACGAGAGGGTAAACACGGTGACCCCGAACGTTCATCTCAGTCCGCGTGCCGGTGTGCGGGAATACATTACGGAAGCCCATCTCACGAAGCGCGAGTTCGCAGTAGTTCGTGTGTGCTGCAAAGTCCTCAAGAGTATGGAGTCCTTGACCGAGGCACCGCAAAGCTTCGCACAGGTCCTCCTCGTTTCTATTCTTGGTATACAGTCTTCCGTAATGGATACTGCGAGCCAAACTATATTTGACATACCCAGAACTCGTGGACCAGTCTCCTCGTTCGTTGGCGATATAGTTCTTCATACCGGTATCGGGATCGATGTCGAGCTCAACTTGACGCACCGGGCCACGCAGCCGAGAATCGTACTGGCGTGCATCTTGGTTGTCGGCATAATCCTTTGGGTTGCTTGTAAATAAGCATTAGCCATATGCAACTTCATATGAATAGAGAGAAGGACGAACTCAATATGCTCCTCGGGACGATAAGTTCCCAGCCTGTCAGAGGTGACCTCAAACTCGGCCGTCGCATAACCGAAAGTCATGAAAGACAGGATCCAGACGAGGATTCGGATAGTGTCAGCTTGGACACTCTTAAGGGTGCCGACGTCCATCGCCTGGGAGCTATAGAGGGTCAGCGCGTGCAGCAGATAGCTTCGTAAGAGATGAGACCCACTAATCACGCAACCAGTTGCCAAAGTAGACGCGCTTCATCATGGTGGAGGTCCACTTGTGGCCTTTGATAAAGGCGACAGTCTTGAGCATATCTTCAATATCACCATGGCGCCAATTCTTGCCCTCGACGGTGGAGATCGACGCGATATCTAATCGTATCAGCAGCCGAGTCTAATTTTGGGGAAACCAACAAAGCCAAGGTCACACATACTGCCCGCGCCAAATGCATGGACTTGAGAGGGAAGCACGACGAGCACAAGACATAAAATGAGGAGGGCATTGAAGCCCATATTCATCCCTGACGCCATGGTCAATATGGCTGCAGGTCTTTAGTTGATGTTCTGAAGTCGAAGGAAAAATATCTGTGGAGGGGTAAATAAGGAGGAGAGAAGAAGATAAGGTTTAAGCGCTTGGCGTCAGGAGACATAGACAGCTGAAAGAAAGTCTTTGTTTTCCCAAGTTTTGGGAAAGAATGAACGAGAAGAAAAGGTAAAGGCCAGCTCTACGAAAATAATTTACAGCTTTAAGCAAGGAAAAATTTCTTGGTTTTTTGGCTAGTTCTGATCTACAAGACACGGCAGAGCGACACCGCCTAAGTAGAAGATTGTCCTTCCTGATGATTTCAGAGCCCCGCCACCAGCATCAGATAACCATTGAGGGTTCACTATGGAATTAGAGGCTGGCTGAGCTTTGTGAGGCTGACGATCCGTGCAGAAGCTCTGTACTGTGTACTATACGCTAAGGACTCTTTCGGGTCCGTATTACGGCTGGGCCGAGTGTTTTTTTTAATGTGAACGAAAATACTCCGAAGTACCAAGGATAAGTATGGGGCACTAAAGCCCTCTAAAAAGACCTCTTCTCGGTAGCTCCTTGGTATATGGGGCTAATCGAGTGGCACCACCCTTAGTAGCCTTGAGGCCCTTGACGAGGGACCAAGCGGAGGGGTAATTCAGCCCGAACCACCGTATCTATCATACCATACAGAAATCATCGTAAATAAACAGTTGAATACGATGTTACAGAGTTCAGTTGATACCATGGCAGCAAACCATACATTAGCGTATTTATCGAAATAACCGACCATCAACGTTTCTTAGTCTACGATCTTCAACATCACATATTGGTCACTGCTCGTGGATCTTCATCCACGGAAGATGGAAAGTGGAACCCGATCGATTGGAATTGACTCATAATCATCAAATAGCAGCAATGATATGCATGGGGTCGATGTGCTTTGACTTGGGACCAAGCGATCCTCGGCTATATCCTTCATACTTCCGTGTACCTGAACTCAGCCCTCAAAAGACATGTCTACTACGTACCATGCTTCAGCTTTGGCTCGATTCCTGCTATTTTCGTTTCTCTTTGCTTCCATACTGCCCGTATAGTTCTGGTAAGGGGGTTTTGCCATTGATCCTTTGTCTGCCCCTCATTGCGCCACCCCTTCCAAGGGTATAACCATAGTTATTGGAGCTGCTACTACTCCGTACAGTCTCCTCCATCAGTAGAGTAGCCATATGGAATTCTTAGTAGTACAGATATCCTGTATCTCTGCTTGCAGTAAGAGTATTGCTATGCCGTACTGATATAATTACATTTATACAATTGCTATTTGTCTCTTGTAAATAAGTATCTTGTCACATTATACTACATGCTGTAGATACCAAATAGCAGGATCTATAATATTCTACTTGGCTTTATTTTCACTTATTCTTATTAGGAATCTGGAGCAGTTGGTAGCTAGTGATAGTTAGTTAACTAATGTCAGAGTTAGTCCCCCATCCATGATTCTACAACTGAACACTCCTTCTACCAGTAGGCCTACCATGCCTCCAAGTCAAAGAGTCCATTTTCTTATATCGGGGTCCTTCTTGGGTTCTGTCCACCAGCGATACCCAGCAGGCGCCTTTGCTAAACCCCAAGCAATCCATTCGACATGCGACCATTCGGTAATAGGCTCGGTTGGAGCGGCTGTCATAAAATTCTAAATGGTACTTGAGTTGTCAGTCTTGTAACCGATAAAATAAAGAAAGGAAACCGACATCTTGTCCGAGGAACTATCCCAAAATAAACCCGACACATCTCCGTAGGGTCGAAACCCCTTGGCAACACATTCCCTTGAACGAATTAGTATGTTTCCTTCATGTATGGAGAATGATCACTTACTCCCATGCAGCTTTGAAGGTCTGTCGGATTTTATCACGCTCCCGGCGCCGTAGATCCCAGAACCCAGCAGAATCTAACTGCTTTCCTGGGGCTTTTTCGATAAGGAGATAGAGAATAGACCCACCTGGAAGCATACCTGTGTGGTCTTGCAATCCTCTTTTCATATGTAAAAGACGTGCAGCTGATTCGCACTCCTTTGTCCGGAAGGTACCGTAAGCATCTAACATAAGCTGTCCACAGGAGGGAAGGTTATGGGATGCCTGGCGAGCGAAACTATTCGGATTCGCGCCTGCATGTGGAACTCTTAAAATTGTGAGCAAAAGGCCAAGTAGAATGGTGGAGGGGATGATCATACTGCATGGCAATTCTCGTGATAGCTAATTCAGTTTGACAATCCACATTTTCACATTCGAAGGTTCCGTAAGCGCCACTGACAGCATCCGGGAAGTCATTTATTTCGCCTGCACTGAACTGGTCGTTCTTATCGCGCAACTTTTCAGTCAGGCGCCAACGAGCGTTGGGGTCGGTAAAGGAAATGACTTTTCCAATCCAGCTCTCATCAAAAAGCTCTGTCTCTATTTTGGGCTGCTATAAGTTTCAGGTATTTGTGAACAGAGAGATTGAGAGATAGGCGAAGAAAGGAGAAAGAGAGGAGAGGAGAAGGGAAACGAAGGTCTAGTTTGAACAAAAATGAAGTTACATCATTCTTATTGCATAGTTACCAAGGGCCAGTTCTCTTATGTAGTGACAGAGCTGACATGATCTTTACTATTTAGTATTTACTTTAGTGGAGCTTGTGAATATTATTTACTGCGAGTGGTCTGGCAAGAGAAGAAGAAAAAAAGGGGGAACAAATAATCATACTGGATTATTTTTAAGTATTTGGGTTAAGGTAATACTATAGGATGGTGAATCTGTCTTACACGTTGTATGGAGATGCAGCCCTGCGGTGGATTACAACAACAGATCCTTATCGATTTCTGCCAGCAGAAATTGCAGAATTCTAGTAGCGATTCTGAATATTTTGTATTTCTATGTTTATACTCAAGAGATTACTATAAACACTATATAATTTATACACAATGTGCATTTCTCTATAATATACAGTAACTTATATGAAGGAATATATACAATATCTATATTCTAAACCTTTTTTATAATATCTTATTTCAGAGCGATAGCGATACAGTTTAATACTATGCGGTAAATGGACTTGATGAGGAGTGGCTGTGATGGAATCCGCGTACCACGTCCAGCTTCGTTTTGTTGTTGTCAGCTCTTCACCGTCTAAAAAAGTTATCTCTCCCAAAATCCAGTCATTGCACCTTCGAGCCAAGTAGAAGCTATTCAACTGTATCGACAGGATACCACGATAATGACGGACCAAAAATAGACGTCGAGCTGCTCCTCTCCGAGCTGCGGAAACCCAGGCACGCGCCGCTGCACCGGTTACAAACTAGCAGCATACTGCTCTCCAGCATGTCAGAAAGACCATTGGAAAATACACAAAAAGGCATGCACGGGGGCGAAGAAGTACAACTGTTTCCTCATCCGCGCCGCTCCCACTGATCCAACGAAAGAGAAACCCACCGATGCAGACTATATCGAACCGATGCCCCTGGGCTCATACGGTGAATGGTCCGCCGAACTGAAGGAGTTAAAGAGAAGAACCAAATGGGGCGGCATTCTCGAACCCGGCAAATTCTACTCGCACAAACCTGTTGATCGTTGGCATTATCATGTTTACCAGCAGTATGAGAAGACAGAAACACCGAGGAACCCGATTATGAGTCGATGCTTCAACGGAGACATTCATGGCGATGTTGCGGTGGTTAGGTCATCTGATGTGAGATTCAATGACTACTCTGAAGAGTTCTCCAGGACAGAATTGGTTCGCACGTTGGAGTATTACAAGAATATACACGCCGGAGATGAAGCTCACAGGCGGTCCAAAGCTAGCATGGCTGCTACTATGGGGGTGTCGGCGGAGGCTTTCGATAGGATGGTGCCTGAGGGTTTCCCTCATATTCATAGCCCTGCGGACACAGAGCCATGGATGACAAGTGATCTCCCAAGTGAGTGACAAGGCTTAGTACAGCAGAGGTTTTCGTTGAATGACAGGCATGCTCCTGGAGATTGTGGATTTCTCAGATTAGTGGGTCCATTCAGGAGTGCCGTCGGACATTGTGAAGAAAAGTCCGACCGCAATTTGACCTAGATACGACCTGATAAGAGAGAAAGACGATTGATCGAAGCTTTTCCTTGACATCTACAAGGGTTGTTTCAGGGGACATCAAATACTACTAGTAGTATGGATTTCTTCAATGTTATATTTATTAATTAATATTACCCGCTGCTTTTTTCCAGGGTTACAAAACACTATACCCAATTAGGATTAGACCCTGGAACAAGCCTCGGAGCTTAAGAATGCAATTATCCGGAGCAATGGAAACCCTGACTCCTTGATATATTAATCAAGATAATCGGAATCCTCTTCAATTCTCGCTAGAAAGTAATAGGTAAGTCCATCCATGATCATGCCACGCGCGTATGTAACCATCCACGGCCGCAGTGTAACTTTTGAGTGGAACTTGGCGAACACGCGCAAAAAACCCCGCTTTATTCTCTATCAATTGGGGCAGCCGCGGGGTAATCCGATCCGAGTCATCGCCGAATGAACAAGAAATATAAACGAGCCCCCGATGATCATGGAATCTGGGTAGTATGGGGCTTGTTCCCGACGTAGCATTCCGTATACTACATTGTTGGGTAATAGAATGAAGTTGTATGGCCGTCAAATGCTACACAAATCCATTGTTGAGTTATCTTCACGTATAAAAATTTGAATCTTCTCCAGCTTTTCCCGATTATATTTTTTTTTCTCCCCTTCCCCACGTCTCCTCAATCAACTGAATTTCGGTATTCTACCCCGTACATACCAACACAATAACATCTACTCGAGTATACCAAGTAAGAAAAGGAAAAGAAAGAAAAAAAAAATGACCGTCCAATCAACCCCCCACCTCGACGCCC